GCCCCCAGCAAACTACTGCCAAATTGCTCTCTTTACATACCATTCTTCCCATTTTTATGCCGATTTCTCAGGTTTCCCGACTATTACTGAATCGGCCGCCCTGGCCACTCCCGACACAGCACTCAAATATCCATTTAGGAGGTACAGAACTGTTGTGTGGCCTGTCTCCTTTATTCATACCACCTCGCTTTCACTCGTCACATTTCGGCTGCCTGAAACTGAGTTTGTTTTGAATTATTTAAATTACTACAAGACACTTTGGATCATACAACTTTGCAAGAGATTGTATCTTGATATTGTTTGCTCCTGCCTATTAGCTAGACTTACTCTTGACCTCTTGCTTCCTTTAATTGTTTATTGCTCCTCCACGGCAATTGCTTCATTTATTTTCTCTATTTTACCTAAACTCTACTTTTGTGTGGAATCAAGTGGTCTTTTTTCCATTTCCTTGGAGGAATTAATTGACATCTCTTTTCACCCATCTCCTCCATGTCCTTTTGTACTAAAAATCATTTAACCCCAGGTTACTTCAATCAAATAGGATATATATATATATATATATACACAAACTAACAATTCTCTCCTCAAAGCTGGGTGATTAAATAGACAGTTCTGCTGTGCTGACTATTGTTGCTATGGCTGGTTTGCATGAGTCTGAGACTTGGTATTTTTCGTCCCAATTTAGGGCGAGTATACGAATGTGTGCATACTTGAAAGGTTTTATGCTAGTTGCAGACCCATTTTACCCTTTCGTCTGTTTTCTGCTTTTCTCTTTTCGCGCTCGTCTTAGTCTCTCGCGTCAATCGCCTCCTGCCCATTGCCGAGGCTCTCTTCTGGCACCTCGGCGTCCGTGCCCTGTTGCAGGCCAGCATTGCTTTGTGCATCGCCTGCCTGGTCTGCCCGGTCGTCTGCATCCTCCTGACGGTGGCTGGACTAGTGCGTTGGCTTGTTCGCTCCGTCTGGGACTCCATAATCTTCCACTGCTTGCTGGCCCATCGAACCCGAGTGCCCCGACGTGGAGGCATCTGGGTTCGACACGTCGCAGGCCCTGGGACTGCGGATAATCACTTTTATCAGGTGAACTATCAGTTCTCCCTATCTTTATTCTCTTTGGGGTATTTTCCTGTTACAACATTTTCATCAAGTTAATCTGAACCTGCTATTGTAACTTAGTCATGTTTTTATGGAGAAGACGGTACTGCATCCTCTCTCATTGTAGCATGTCAGAGTGAAAATTGCAATCACCTGATTCATAATCTGTTTTTCGCTTGTTGCACTTCTATTTCCATCCGTTATGATACATGGTTGATCTACTTTTTGCCCTATTATTAACCTTCATGCTCACCCCAATTTATACCTTCGTTTTTTCACACATATTTGAGAAATGATGATACAGCTCAATGGGATAGGAAATGCTGTACGATATGTAGAAGGAACAACCGCACAGTCTTTTGGCAGGAAACTGTTTATGAAGGTTGGCCTAATCTATCACTTTGAGGCGCTATAGCTTGGTGGCATTTTTCACGGAAAACACTGACTTTGATATGTGTGATATCTGGGATGTGCCCAAAACAAAGTTGCAGGCTAGAACAGGCTGGAACAACACCAATAAGAGAGGCAGCATGAAGTGAATTCATTGATGTTTTCCTGACAACTCTACCAGATAGTTAGAACGAAGTTCCTTTCTTATGTCATTTATTTCCTGGTCCATACCCTCTTCTTCCGATTCCTGCCTCCATCCTAATATATTTGCCTGATTTTTAATCATCATTTAATCATTTTAACTTACTATAATATTAATGTTTGCTACTTGCATACTACTGCGATAAACGAGGCGAGGTGTGTGTAGCAATATCTCTTTATAATAGTCAGGATGAATTTATCCACTCGGTTTGCTACAATTATCAGATAGTAAAATGGCTTTCAGATCACTCCTTATTGTATATAAGAGCTAATTAGATTAATAAGATATAATTAATTTAAGCAAATTTTTGCTTGTTGTCCTTAACGCAAGGAGGGACTTGCAGTCCAGTGGACCTGGAATAAGACCTGTACTTAGTCTGGGTCGCATGAGTTCAGGAGAGACTGGTATTCGAATTTTCCCACAATCATGTAGGTAAGTCACATGGTACAATTGAACTTTACTTGGCATTGCTTCGCAAAAGGCAATCTCATCCGGCTTCGACCTCGCCTATATCCCATAAATACCACAACGGAAATAGAATCCGGGTAGTGCAGCATATAATTTTAACATGTTTCCATCAGGCCACACATTAATTATATTCAGATTAAATAAGCTTCAAAATTACTAGCTCTTATTTAAGAGCTACCCACAGTTTTGAAGCCCACTGAATCTGAATATAAGTAATATAGTTGATTGTAATGACAAATAAAAGTATGCGTCATTGAAAATTCCACAAAAAATATGCTATAGGAGGCTTGGCTCGTCTGGAAATTAACGTCTGCACTGTGTCCTACTGGAATCCGTGACTACAGTATCGTGGCTTAGTGATAGCATGTTGAAATAATATGCTATACTATCTGGGTTCAATTTCCTCAGGGGGGTGCTGATGAGAACCAGGCTAGTTCTACTGTATAGTCTGGTCTAGATTAGCATATCTTTTGAGACGCAAGACCAATTTAAATTCAAAGGAATTATGAAGCCTACTCATTTGTTTGTGGATAAATTTAACTATTAATCCTTATCATTTTATATGACCTAGGACGAATACACAATAATTGGCTGGTTGTTTCGAAGCCTATATAACTTAAATATTAGTAGATCCATCAACGTATGGTCTACTCGG